GAGTGACGCAGTGGAAAAACTGTCGCCAGCCGCTGCAGATCTCTGGATTCAACCCTCGACTCGYTAAAGTGGGCGAGGGATTATGGTCTGTTTGTCACATTAGTGAGTCCTACTGGCTGCTCTCACCGAATCTCATTCGTACCTGCTTCTCAGGCACAATACTTATTTGTTTAGCTGCTAATCTCTCACAAAGTCCATGACAAACAGCACACAAGCTGGCGCAGGTTTTTGGAAGAGCGGTTCAGSTTTAGCTGACTGACCAAAACACTCATTATTAGACCACTGAGGGGYCTCGCCTTGATCGGTCGAGTCCTTTCTTATTTTTTAAGAGCTTGTGTGATTTCTGTTGAGGTTAGGACGGATGCTGACGAGGTAACTCCAGGATTAAAGAGCTGCAAACAAAAAGGACTTTGAGAATGTTAGAAAAGCAAAAAGACAAAATGTGTGCRTCTCATGCAGGTATAATTGGATGACAGAGTCATTGACAAATGGCTAACACAGTGTTGGATGGATTGTAYGCAACAGGAGGGCGGGGCCTGTCCGTCAGAGGTCATCGACTGATGCATCAGGAAACAATCACCTGAGGGTTAAAGGCTGAGAGAGGAAACAGGGCACTGTGACCCTGAACAAAGACCTGCTGAATTAGCCCCAGAACTGAAGCCCATCATCAAGACGTGCCGTGCAGAAATCCATGTGTGCTGATGACCTCCTCGCAARGAGCACCGTGAACTCATCACAAGATTTAATTAGGTTAAAATGGTTTGTTTGAAGCGTCCAGAAGCATCCAGAAAATTTGATCTCAACATGACATAAATACAAAACCTATCACCTTGATAAATATACCCATTAGAAAATTAAATTATTAAATGAAAGAATGCATATTGCCTGCCAACTAGCATGCCGTTTGCACAATCTCCTGGTGTTCAAAGTATGTTAGGAAAGACTCTCCCATATCAGTTTTTTTATTTTATTGAAGATTATTGTTTAAAAGTCAAAACAAAACTGTGTAAATATTTCTTTTAACCTGAGAGGGGAAAGCAGAACAGCCAGATGCTTTAACTCTTTTGGATCTTAATGTGTTTTCTTCTTAAGCTGCCTTTTTATTTTTCCATTTTGCACACTTTTTTCTATTAAACTCTGTCACTAATACTAAAAAGAGTCTGTGAATAATCAACAAACAGATTAACTCACCGCTGAGTCAAGATTTAAAGTGAGAAAATGAACTAAATGGCACATTTATTTTGAAATGTTCTGAATAAACGCTCACACAAAGACTCCTAACTACAAGCATRTGTTATGATTGTTGCATTGAAGAGTAGTTTAGTTTCGTATTAGTACCTCCCCTGAAGAACCCCTAAAATAATAAAAAGTGAAGAAAACATGATCTGTTCAAGCCAATGTATTCCTGATGTTCTTAACGCTTCTTTTAAGACAGGATAAAAGAGGAACATTGCATATGAATAAACATTTTGAATAAAAACACCAAAAATCAGATCATAAACCAGAACTCATTCCTGATTGGTCATGGCTTYGGTCGGATCAGAAACACAAACAGAACAGAAAAGGAGAAAAACCAGAGCAAAAGTCATAATGGTCCATAAGAAGGTCCAAAACCCTGATCTGATACTCCTTTAGGAAGCAGGGGGAAATCCATTTTAAACAAAGACATATTTTTTATATATTTATTTAGAATTTGATGTATTTCTAGACACCATGAAGGCAAAGTGTTTTACATTTTCCATCATTAGCTGAGTTTTAAAAATATAAACAAAGTCCTCTCTAACAGGCCTGCAACACGCCACAAATTAAACACCCAGTATTTATATTCTAGTTTCATTCAAATCTGTGATTCATGAGATATTTTACTAACAGAAAAACCAGGTTTATGCCAACATTATATGTAAAATGATTGTGTGATGTGCAGAGCTCAGAGTATGTGTTGGGGATGATGCTTAGATAGTAACCACAAAAATACAGCCTTGGTACTCAGACAGAAACATTAATGCCTTTTGCCTTTGGCAGTGTCTGATAAGAACACTGGAATGCAGACAATTTAGTACCACTGATGATGTATTTTAAAACAGCATGATTTAGTTTCAGAGGACATAAACAAGTTGTTTTCACTTTGACTGCTGGATCAAAAAAACTGAGTCTATGAGAGGAGAATATGTAAGTATTTATTACTGACGTGTTTAAAATATTACTTGTCAAAGAAATATTGGGTATTTTCTCTTCCCGGGGTGAGTGAGGTCATATAACTGAAGGAACTGCAGCACCTAAAGTTAATGTTACTCAGGCTGGAAGCTCGTGATCTTTCAGACAAGAATTGAACAAGACCATCATTCACAGCAACATATAGGCAAAAGGTCACTTTAGGAAACCTTTGTTGGCCACTAAGGTTATATTCATGAGGTTTTAAAGCAATGTGTGCAGCCTCAAAATAAAAAAAAGGTTTTCAGATTTTAGCTGTCATAGACCTTTGCTCTCACAAAGGTGTGGCTGCAAAAACAGGTCTGCCGTTCCAACCTGTCCCGAAACCTGACACTTTTTTACATGATGTCAGTAAATGCCTCAAGCTCTTTTATTATTACTGTGAAAACAAAGATTACATTACAAATCATACCACACTCTAAAAGAATGTTGTATTCACCTGTACCTGTAAATCTGATGGTTTCAATATAAAATAAAACATAGTTTTCACACCAAATTGTTCATGGATGACAATAAAAAAATGGGATTCTCCCAAAAACAGATAAGGTTCGTTTTACACAAACCAGCAAATCAGTTAAAAAGAAAACCCTCACTAAAAATGATTTGACTTTAATATAATAAGAAAAAACAGAAAAAGATCATTAAAATCAATTCTCTGCACGTAGTTTCCACACCAAAATCTAAGATTACTGAAAAATTCMAACTTCATTTTCTTGGCTTGAAAGGTGGCCGACTGTCATGAAAAGAWTTCACTGAATACAACGACAAAAGAGAAACCGTAAAAAAAATTTACATTTAAAGTTTTATTTTTGGGCCCAGACAAAAAGCTAACGAGGGTCAGATTTGGCCCACGGGCCTTGAGTTTGACACGTGACCTATGGGGACAATCATTTTAATCGAAGACAATTCATTTTTAAGCAAAGCTGTGAAATAGTTGCTTTAAAATATTGCACTGCTATTTATTAAATTACTCACTTTGAATGTTAAAACAAACTAAAAGCTTTAAACTCAACATGATACAACTGTGTAAATCACACAACACTGAGATTTCAATTATTATGTACAGGTTTTTATGTAACATGTTCCAGTCTGGAAATGTAGAAATTTGAAAAGGTTTTTGAACTTAAACGAAACTAAACAAAATCGAAGTTTATTTGAAATACATATCATTGTCCATACCATTTTAACGTTTTCTTATTTGCACTCGTAAAACWGATTGTTAGATTTACTTAACCAAGTTATGTCAATAATTTACGCTCAGCTGAGAAGGTGTAAAGCAACTTTCYCATTTATTTTTAAAGAAAACGTGAAAGTTTCTTCACACTTACTTGACTCAGAGTGAAAATTATTGACATAACTTAAGTAAATCCAACACATCTGTTTTCAGAGTGAGCTGTTTTGATTCTCCGTCATCCCTGTAAATCTAAAAAAATAAAGTAAAATAAACTTTTCTGTAGTTCAAAMTGTTTGGCTTAGTTAAGAACTGGGGAATGTGGAGTTCCAAGCTCGGTTATGTAACCTAAATTCACATGCAGATTAAACTCACTCCCCTCCTAAAGGAACGGGGTGCTTCAGTCCAGGGTATAAGATTATGGAATAATCTGGAAGATGRCATTAAAAATGCCAGATATACTGTATGAAGTGTATATGTAAGAGAATGATAAAGATTAATTTGCTGGAGAAATACGTAAATTTATGAATTGTTTTTCAAGGAGTTAAACCTTTGTTTTATTTTTTGTATACTAAAGATTATTTTGAGAAAAAGGGGCAGATAAAATAAGATTTTTTTTCTTCTTCTGCTACCTTTCATTTAATTTATGGTTTGTGTTTTTTGTTGTTTGTTGAATTTATGTTGTTAAAGAAATGAATAAACTAACTGAAACCTCCTTGGCTGAGGCTGACATGCAGACTGAATACAGGTGACTCATGGGTATGATTACATGTCTGATCAGAAAGCAGGTGCAACATGACTGTGTGTGACGTCACAGGAGCRTCAGACAAAAAGGTGAAGGGGGTGGGAAGGCAGGTGGGGTTGGTTCAAGGCCAAATATGACGTCTGATGCATGATTAAGACCTCGTCATAAGAAGTTTTTTTATTTGTTTGCTGCTGTGAAGGTGTGGAGCTGCACAGATGTGTTTTTGTCTGAAACTGATGTCATCTATTCTGACTGAGCTCAGCAGCGCCCCCTCCTGGCTACTAAAGGCTCATGCTATAGAAACACAGATATTTATACTGTATATCTTCACAAATTTGATCAAATCATCCCTTTATCTTAAAGAGATAGTTTCAGAACTATAGCCTCAAATATTTAACCTTTTTTAAATAAAAAGAGTTCATCCATCTGGAATCTTCAGGCCCTCAAGATGGATGAACTGTTTTTGTCCTGTTCAGAAAGTTTAAAGTTAAAATGAATGTGAAAATGGTTAATTGGGTGTTTTACAAGTTGCCAGTCATTACATTCACTCCTGCATGCCTAACAGTTTAATGAGGCCAATTAAGAGTTCACACCGCCTGCAAGAGCTGCTGAATTATTACATTAGGGAGATAAAATTGGTGAAAGCAAATTAATTAGGCAGTGAGCAACTTTGAGTGAAAAAAAAAGAGGCAGGGAACAAGCAGTGAGACTTAACGTCCTTCTCAATTTACTTCCTGGAAATTGCTTTCTTTGTTGCTAAACTTGTAACTTTTACTAAAAAAAAAAGCTGTAAGCTCTGCAGCATCTATTGCCAAATATTAAAATGGCTGTCATATGAGGCATCATTAGGTTCCAGGAAACAGAAAACACATGAACCAGTTTATTTTTTATTGGAATGTTTCATCTCAGCAACATGACAACAAGCCAAAACAGTGCAAATGTTTTATCACATCAAACACTCAGAGTCTGACCTTTCAAAACCTCTCAAGTCCTGATTTAAAACCCCGGATCGTTCACGCTCACTCGTCTAACTCACACAATCCAGCAACACACACATTGTACACAACCATCCTGGTGAACACGTAAGGCACACAGACACAATATTTACATTTAACGCACTGCGTAGGACAGGAGATGCTCAGAAACTGAACCGTGAGCTAACAGCTGCAGCCGAAGCTCACAGACTGGACTATTTTTTATTAAACACCTGCAGCTGTTTTATAGCAGTTCACACATTGTTAGGTACAACTTCTTCACGTGGATCGGCTTTTTCTCACCTAAAAATATTGAATTACAGCATGTGGAGCAGTGAGGATTGCAGGATGGCAAGTGGATAAATTACACGAAGCAAATAAAAACAAAAAAAAAAATCTGCTTTTAACACATTAGTTTGAGCCTGACTGAGAACGTTCACATAGATCTACGCAGGAATCCGAAACATATACAGCATGTCAGACACCCAAACTAAACTCACAAGCTCTGAATCCACCGAGGCAACAAGCAGGACTCGCTTCATTTATACACTTTAAAACATTTTCTTTTTAGGCATTTACAGAAAAATCACCCAACTTTTAATTCTTAGAATACAATTTATTACAATTTATTTACACTTTCTGGATGAAATCAAAGCTTTCTGCTTATTGAAGGTGTTTGGAAGACGAATAGATTATCAACTGTATGAAATATGAACGAAAGACATCATTTCTGGGCTCAGCGCGTCTGATTAATATCGAGGCAGTTAAGTTAAGCCTGACTACAGTTGTGAGTCGTGACAGGATGCAACAAGCTAGTTCACAGATTAACGAAGAATAATGTTTGGTGAACTGAGGTTTAAGCTCAATCATTTTATGTTTTCAGATTCTGTTCAGGGCAAAGCAACAGAATCTCTCAGCATCATTAGATTCCAACTATTAAAGTGGTTTCATAATGGATTATTTAAGCTTCTTGTTACAGGAAAAAAAAAATCTAAATGTTAAGTCTGTAAAATTATGTTCTTCGTAAATGATCGTTTTGAGATGTGAAATCTGAATTTAGGCGCCACAGTTTTTGAAGTTTTGTCAATCACATATGTTTGATCAAATCTGTGACTCTCTTTATGTGGTTACTAAAAAGACTGAATCGTTTTGTTAATGTGTGTAAAATATTCATGGATGTATGTGTACTGCAGTACACTGTAGTAGTCTGACGTTAGAGAATGGTTTTGTTGCAATAGGTCTCACTGCTGCAGTCACAGTGTTAACATTTCCCCACATCGTTCCACTCACGTCCCCACTAAAACCATGTCATTCTCCTCCTCCTGGTGCCGAGATCGAGGAGCCCCGAGGAGGAAATAAAGCCTCAAACCAGCGACGCCCTCCTCTCCTCCGGCGTTTCCTCCAAGATCTGAAGCAGCAGGTCGCTGAGGGGCTTGGCGACGGCGCGGTAGCCCGTCGCCGTCAGGTGGAGGTAGTCGAACATGTCTTGTGAGCTGATGGTTCCGTCCGAGTGGACGAACGCCTCGCTCGCGTCCAGGAGCTGAGCCGGGCCCAGCCGCGGCAGCCAGGAGCGCAGGAGCTTGTTCACGGCGGCGTTCTTCTCCCTCAGCGGGTTGGGCCGCTCGCCTCGAGGCAACAAACCCTGAGGRTCGTAAAGACGTGTCAGAATCATTTATAGACTTAGATAAGTTAAACAACCTTTATTCATATTCAGTCAGAACATGATTCTTCTAAAATAAAACACATTTTTACTCTCTCACTCAGATATTCATGAGAACAAAGAGTCTTCAGTGAAACTTCCTGCATCGACTGGGCTGCATAAAATCGAACTACAATACAAGAGACACTCATAAACCTACCAGCACAACTATTTTTGCCTTGGGGAGGTGAGAGGTGAGCAGCTGTGCGATGGCAAGAATTCCTCCAGCAACTTGCTCTGCTGTGTGCTCATAGTTGTTGGTTCCTACCCATAACACCACAACCTTAACACAAGCAGACAGTTCATTACTCCTCGCTGGAAACAATCCAGACTGAATATCCGGGAAATAAAAATACATTAAACAAATTAAGAACATTTTTTTAAACAACGGGAACAGTTGGAGTGATGCCAACGACTAATACCGGAACAATCAGACCTTGTGCACGTKTAAAAACCTGCCACAAAGCACGTTAATAGTTTTCGGTAAGTACAGGATTCACACTCAGCGTTGAACAGCAAACTACATTTACTATATTGTGAATGTAAAACCGATAAGAACCCTTCACAAAGGAGTCTTTTATACGTACTTAAAAAATGGAAAACTATCTCCTCTTGTTGACATTTATTCACGGCACTAAAATGGTTCAGCTGTGATTAGAATTTAAAAACAATATTACAGTAATTAAAATAGGGGTCTGAACACCTTGTGGTAAATCTAAATTGTGCACAAATAACAGGACTTTAGAGTTTACTTCTGGAATATTTGATCCTCATTTGCTGCAGTTCTCCTCTTAAACAGCAGGTGTCGCTACTGAGAAAAGCAAGTTTAATCTTTATAAACATAACGCAGTTTCACCTTTTTGTTCTGACTTTTAAAACACATCTGTGGAAACAAACGTTGAAAACTAATAATTAAATTGATTTGGATTTTGTTGGTGCACAGTTATAAAAATAATGCATCTCAGTTTCACTACAATATGCGTTSACAGCTGCTCCACTTGGAAAACTGAAACCTCCTCACGTGTGAGTTTAGCTCGCATTAACAGAGCCCCTTACTTTGTTTTAAAAACATGGAACTCCTCGCATGAATAACAAATATCTTCAAGAAAGAAGCAAAGAAGTTCATTTGTCATAATAGTAATAATAATAATAATAATAATAATAATGCTATTTGCAGGAGGTGTTTGCATTCAGCCGTCTCACCTTAGGCCGGATGTTTTCCAGCTCTCCATTTTGCAGCCTCCACAGCACATTGCAGGTGTTGTCTCCACCGATACCAAAGTTGAGAGCATGAAGAGGAGAGAAACACTCCCTCCAGACCTGAACAATCAAACATCGGTATTTTACATGAGCCTCCTCTTGTGCGTCCAGTAGTCCAGGACAGTATGAAAAGTGACACGTGAAGGTAAATAAAAATTAAAATGTAGCATCAGTGCTTTGCAAATAAAAAGGAAAGTSATTTTGCAGAGCTGCAATTGTGGGTTAAAACTGTTAATGTTGATTGATTGCGGATTTTCGAAGGTGAAAAGGAGAGGCAGCTTGAGTAAAAACAAAAAGCACACAGCCCCTCTCTCACCTCATACTGCTGCATTAGTTGGACCATAGAATCCCCGACAAAAAGAACTTCTGGTTCCCCGTCTTTGCACTCCTGGACAAATCTCGTGTGCTGCGAACATAAACAGACAAACGCCGCTTATGAAAGAAAACACAGACGACCRCTTCCATTTGTTTTTACCAAACAATGCAGCAGGAGCAGTTCCATTTCAGGCCTGTTCTCATGTTAGACAACACCTTGTGGTATAAATCAGGTAAAYCAAAGCAGGGAGATAATAAGCCTGAGCCATCTGAGTCACACCAAATCCCTCCAGCTTATCGTCATGACCCGTCTGGTGGCCCGCCTGATGGAGAACTTGAAGTAAAGCAGGCCATCTAAGATGTATTAGCTTTCAGAAGATTAGCGTAGCAAAGACCAGGCACCACTAAACAAGCTCGATTAATTATTGCATCAAAACTATACAAGTCTTGCCAACGTGTAAAGCTGGGAAACAAATTGGTATTTCAGCACTGCATATTTTTATATTMAGTTTCAAATCAATTCAGATGCAGGTTGTGTTGATGTATGTTGTGCACAGAAATAAATCATTTGATGTGTATTATCAAAAAGAGAAATTAGTATAAGGTTGATAATGTAATTTTTTTATTCTCAAGATTAAGGATGAGGGTTAACGTAAATACATAACAATCAGTGCCTTGTGGTGCAGATTCTGCAGTCTGCAAAAGTTTATATGTTTTCATTGATCCTTAGATGTATTTTACTCTAATTTTTTAGCATACTGTAGCAAAAAAGTAACTCATCATGTTTTAATTGAATGGATTCTGACATTTCTTCTTGCAGTTAGCAAAACCAATGTTTAAATGCAAACATTTCATCCAGTTTTCTCAAGAAACAAATAATGTTCCTTTGTTGCTTGTTAGATAGTTCTATCTACTGAGCTTATAAAAGCCTTTTTTTTTTTTGGGTCCCCTACTGCAACAGATCCATATCTGAGGAGTTCTCACTGCCAAAAGCAAATGTTTCCATCAGTAACAGTACCTGTGCCAGCCACCGTCCATCTCCGTGTACATCCTCCACAGGCTGAGCCACTGCAGCTGGGTTCAGATCATCCCCGCTCATCCTCCTCCTGCAGGAGACACCAGCGCTGTGCACAAACACAACTAAGCTGCAGGACAAGAAAAACGCACTACTGCTGGGTTTAATAAACAAAAYGTGCATTTAAAAGGACGTGAAGGACTGACAGCAGACAGGAGCAGATGGTATGATACGGATTTAGGCTACTTTCACTCTAGATCACAGCGCACATCGCATTAGTTTACTGTTTATCTGACGTTAGCTTGTTAGCTGGCAGCTAATGACCGAGATGCTAATAATACACATTTTACGGTCCTTCGTCGAAATATCAACTTCTGAGTTTACAGCAAATAAAATGTAGATAAAACCCACCTTATTACAGGCTGTTGTGTCTGCCGCCGCTTTATTTTACAGCGGTGATGCTAGCTATAGCTGACTAGCCACTGTGGGCAACAAAAAGGCGTGTCAAGAAGGCAAATCACAGACCGCACTGGAGAGAGCTGCCGTGTCCGGTTATTACCACCAACCAGCTASAGAGAGGCGTGTTTATACAGTGTATTACGGTTCCGTCTGCAGACGAGAATTTTGACTTTATGATGCATTCGAATACACCTCGGAAATGACACTATCGTCACTGAAACAGCCTCGCACAATCCCGGACATTCTCCGGTTCACTTCATACTACTCATCTGCATTATGCGCACAGATTTCTCAAATACATTTCTTCCTAGTCACAATGAACATTCCAGACAACACAACATTCCTCCTGTCTAAAATAAATATTCTGGATGTCTATAAATGAATTGTGATGAGGGTGAACTCTAATTTCAGATCCCGTTTTAAAAACCTGCCACAAATCCGGTTAATACTGGTCATTATGACCATTTCAAATACCAAAAATAAACAAAACATTCTACATATCCAATTTTTGACATCCAAAATGAAATTTTACTAACATAAATCTAATTAAAGATCAGAAATGTAGACAATGCATACACAAATTACAACTACAGATGAGCTACTTACAAATATGTTTTGACTAACTCACAACAGAATATTGGGGMTCCGTTTTAACATAAAATAGGCAAGCTGACYRGCAAYATTTCTATTATAGRTAGCACTAATGCATTCTACCTATTCACAATTAAAATATTCCTAGTCAGAATTGTAATAAARATATCACCAATTACATTTATGCCAGTAGAAATTAACCTATAAGTGATCTGTAATTAAATTGTACAAGTAAGAATGAGCTTCAGATATCTACAAATCTTTGCTCATTTAAAGTGGCCATTTTAACATACACAGTATTTGCTTGACTGGATATGTATTTCAGATATCTTAAATACAATTCTTACTAGTACTTTCAGGACCTTGGACAGTTCCTTTAGCCATTCAC